TGTTTGTTTGATTTTTTTGTTCACAGTATTTGGGAACAGGAGAAAAAAAACCGCCCAGAGTCCCTCCTTGTGGGGGAGTTGGGCGGTGATATAAATTTGACATATAAATAAATAAATAAAAAAAATCTGGGCAAAGATATCACATGTTTCCTGAAGGAAGAAAGGAGTCTAGGGAACATCTGTCTTTTCAAACCTTTTGTCCTCATTTCTTTTTTGGGTCACTTTTCTTAGAACAGGCTATCTCCAAGAGTACTGCTGCTGAGTCTGCGAGGGGTATGCTTACTGCAATAGAGATATCAGAAGGATCACAAATGGGAAAAAATTCACAATGTGCTAATTCAATAAAATCTTTAAAACTCACATGTGCATTTCTATATAGAATGGACTATGTTATTTAAAGAATAGACTGTACCGGGTACCTGATACTGCAACCCCAGGCACTCAGTTAGGGCCTTCATTCAAGACCGACCCACTCAAGACACAAGCAGATAGAAAATGGTCAACAGAATGATTTCCCATCTCTTTCCCCAAGTGGAATAAGCTTCAGAGCAAGTAAATTCTACACAGAGAGTGAGAAAAGACAAGGCAAGCAGAAACAGGACAATGTAATAATAGTCTATCCCCAAAGAACTCTGATAGGCAGAATGTAATGAGACTATAAAACTGATTGGCCAGCTGTTCATGTCAATCTCACTCAACCCTCCCTCAGTGTTGTCCATATATGGAGGTGAACCAGCAGCATTCCATAGCAACCCCAACACTGCCACTGCCATTCAACACCTTTGGATTCATGAAGTACTTTGAACATTTTCACAGACACCTAAATCTGATGCACTGCTTAGAAGCAGGTCCCCTCTTTGATACATGAATCTGTTTTGATGAGGTGATTCAATGGGGGGTTCACAGAATTAGATAATTCCTTTAAAACCAAATGATGATTACCATTTGATTGATGTGGGCCATGAAAATATACACCAGTAAATTCTTTTGAAATTCTGCACACTCTGGCTGTTTTCCTACTCTCTCCTAATAGCAACTCCACCAAAGATTAAAAGAAACATTAATTAATGCCCTAGCTTTTAGTGGTTTTAACAAATGCTTGGCAAGAACAATTCTGAAGTAGTTTTCTGGTTTGCCAAGTATATTATTTACACGGGATTTTGAACAGGGTAATTCCTGCAAGCTAGGCATCATTCCTAATCATGATGATGCCAAAATGATGAAACATGCATTGTGGTATCACACACAAGCTTTGCCCTTTCATGCCTGGGTGCAGGTAGTTCTTGCTTAACAATGGTAATTGGGACCTGCAACTTCATTGCTAAGCGGTGTGGTATATCATGAAAAAAAGAAAATAAATATATAAATATATACTTTTTAAGACATTTTTCTTTTTCTTTACTATATTATTTTTTCTTTCTATTTTTCTTTCCATTTTTTCTCTTTTTTCTTTCCTGCACCTTCTATTTTGGTTTTTCTTCTTTTCTTTTTTTAGTTTATATTAGTTTCTATTGTTGTAAATTGTAATCTTTAATAAAATTATTATAAAATTTTTTTGAATAAGCACATCACATGACCATGCTGACTTATGACGGCAGCTGCATAAGTTCCAGTTGCCTTTCTTAGGTAAATCCTGCGTAGTCACAGTGTCCCACAGTCATCCCCATTGACTTTGCTTTTGGAAGCCAGCAGTGAAAGTTGCAAATGGCAATCATGTGACTGCGGGACACTGTGACCATCATAATTGTGAGCTGGTTGTTGTCACATGACCACAGGGATGCTGCAACATCCGCAACTATGAGGACCGGTCATAAATCCCCTTGTTCAGTGCCGTTGTAACTTCAAACAGTGGTTGAACAAATGGTCGCTGAACGAATACTACCTGTACTTTGTATGTATTATATAAGGGGCAGTGTTTGTGTCACAGTCTTGCAACACTTTTTTCATCGGTTGCCTTCCCTCTGCATTTAGTGCACATTTTGTGGAGCTGGACTGGCCGTGTTCCTGGTGCTGCAGAAGGAAAACACCCATATGAGGTTTTACAGAAAATACACAGGCCTTGGTTTCTTAGTGAGAAACATGGTTTCTTAGTCAGGACATGGGGTTGATCCTCAGAAAAACTCATGAGAGTTGACTGCTCCTGGTATGAGATGGTCGGCTATATAATTATGTTAAATCAATCAATCAATCAATCAATCTAGCTGTCCATCTGTAACAATGTTTTTTTTTCTAAGATGCCCCCAAAGAAAGGCATTGAGAAAGCTTGGCCACTCTGGATGGAGGGTTGAGAGGGCAATGGGAAGAGAAATGGCTGACCTGTTCATAATCAAGCATTTGAGGTAGCTACATCACTTTCTCTAATGCTAAGGATCATGTGTAGTATGAGATAAACTTTCTGGAAGACATTGTCATGTGAAAATCAGGATGTGATCTTGATTGCGTCATTTTGGATTAAAAGTTTGCCTGGAGGTCAATCTAAATCCCAGCATGGGGAAATGGCAGATATGTATCTGCAGCATAAACAACTTACATATATAAAATGGGAAATGTTGTCTTGGAAATGGCAGTTGTAAATGTAGCATGATGCTGTGTCATGTAATCTTAGTATGTTTAATTTATAAAATCCAAATAAAAAGGGGGGGGGGCTCTGAGACTCATCCAATGAGCTCCAGTGTTGAGTGCTATACCAAAGCAGCACCCATGGGAAGTAAACTAGGCCTCCCTTACTGATTGGAAAGTAAGAAATTGCAATAACATCTACTTCTTTCCATCTTAATTGTGTCTATAATCCTGGAACCCTCCAAGCTGAGAGGGATTTTTTTTTGTTTTGTTTTGCAACACAACACATTTTAAACTCTCTCTTCTCTTTCTCCTACCCAGTGAGTGCTACGCTGTTTAGAGTGTTTCTTTTTCTAGGCTTGATACCACAATAAAGACACAGAACTTCAAAAATGTCAACCATTCTATATATTGTCCTTTTCTTTGTCACAGTAACAGAATGGAAATGACCCACAGCATGGCTGGAGCCATGGTTTCCAGATGGTGTTGTAGAAAGACAGCTGTTGTGGGACAGGAGTGAGAGTTTTGCGATGCTCTTCTACAGCTTTGTTTATTCTCTCTAGAATTATGTAGAACTGTGGTTCACTGTCTGATGACAATGGCATGGCTTCTGATGGGTCTCCTGAGAGATGAAACAGAAGAGGAGGATCATGATGGATGACACCTTCCCCAGAACATGGACAGTACTTAATTGTATAACAGGCTCCAGATCCCTCAGGTTGGAAAACTGGGGTCATGTAATGGGCCTTCCACACATTTCCACCTGATGGGAAAGAATTTGTTTCATTAAAATGGAGGCAAACTATGAACAAGTTTTAGAAAGACAGATTTTCACCCACAAAACTGTTGCGAGGCTTGTTTGTAATGTAGCTTCACCTCTCATTGTTTCCCTACCCAGGTTGCAAATTGCTTTTCTTTGGGGTTTCCACACTTCTTTATGATATAAGAGTACCGGAGTCAAACATTCGGTCATATTAATTCTTACAGAATAATACTAATTTCTGAATTAGGCCCAAGACATTTTATATCAACTATTCCAAGATCAAAATTAATCCTGCTCATGTCTTAATACATAGAACTAAAATTAGCCTTTCAAGATTAAGTATGCTTGTTATTACTAGTTTTGGTGGTGATGGTGCCAAGAAAATATGTGGGCATCTTTAATGTTAAGTTCTAGGTTAGCCAGTCTGAAATACATAATCCCCAGGGTTCTCTGGATCAAAATAGGCTTCCAGGTTTCATATGAAAGATAAAGTTAAAATATGCAGTTAAAAATCACTAAGCTCTCTACATGATTAAACATTTGCCTTTAGGTTTGTTATTTCAAATGGGAGGGACTTGTGCTTTCTTACAAATTATTTACTTCTGCATAGATGTCCCAGATAAAAGCTAAGACAAATTTGATTGCGATGAGACATAAATAAATAAGCAGATCAAGTGACTGGTTGGAGCCATGTAGTAACAACAGACTACCTGTACCATCATCTGAAATGCAAGAAGCCAGCACCATTAATATATAGAGGCTTTCTCAAAATTAAGCTCCAGGTCAAAGTAACAACTTATGATTGGTGAATTATAAAGAAATAGATGTCACTGTTCCCCCTTCAAACTAAAGGGAACAGATAGTGAAATAAGGATCCATTAATTCTTCAAAGTGCTAACATTCCACCATCTTCCAAGAAGTACAGAGTATTGTGCCAGTGGAAATCACAAATTATTTTCACAACTATTGATATTAGATATATCTCTTCTGATTTCTACATTTACATTTTTCAAGCACAAACTTTTTTTTTTTTGTAATTTCCACAACAGTTTATAAACATGAATTTTTGCATGCAGAAAGTAACCCACATTTCCCCCAATATTTGCAAGCTTTCCCCCCTGCAATAGGCATTTTGGAATAAAGTATTCTCTCATGTCTGTAGTTTTGAATGCAGTTTTTAAAAAAAAAAAATCATTTAATGACATCTCTACATTTGGAGAGGGGTAAAAGTAGAAGGATAAATTTTGTTCCAGTTCAGAAATGTCACATCGAAATGCAAACCTTATCAATTTTGAAGTCATTTAACGCATAACCCTACATAAGCTTTTTAGAAAATGGGGTTTTGCCAGGCAAATTAGGATTTCTTTGGAGGAAGCCTTTATACTTACTCTCTTTTTCGTACCACCGCACTGCATGTAAGTATGTTCCACAGTAGTGAAACATAAATTCATGCCCTGAATATTGAACCAGTCCCTGGAGCAAAGGCATCAAATTCTGGCCATCAATCACCCTAAAAGGGCAAACAGAGTTTCAGTAGAGTGTATTTGGAGTAATTCAGAGCCTTTTGTTAATAGTCAAGCAACTGACCATTTGTTAATACACTGAATGAATGTAGCTGGACATCTGCTATATGTGAATATAGTCAGCATCAGCTGAAATTCCAAATTCTTGTACACATGAATCTTCTGGAGTATATGCAGAACTCTTCAGCCAGAAAAGATTCTCTATTTACTTATGCAATTTCTAAAAAAAAAATATTGTGACAGATAATATACGTTCTGATCATGCAACTGCCTTACCTCATTCCTGAAAATTTATGGAAAATACATTTGCTTCTTTAATTTGAAATCTCCCAAATTTTCCCATGGCTTCATCCATCTTTTTTCTTATTAGAACAAAGTCAGCATAGTTGCAGAATGTTTTTTGATTGGAAGCTCTAGTAGCTGCCATCCAAATGGAAGCACCCTTACTCTTATTTCTATAGCTTTAGAAAAAGTTACATGATAGGATAAGAATTCATATCAGTGGAAGGAACAGTTTGAAATATTCTGAAAGTCAATAAATTAAAATCATAGCAGGTGTGTACTGTTAATTTTCAGTAGGTTTTTGGGGAGCATCCATACCTGTCTTGTGGTACTGTTCCACCAGCTAGGTGAGCCAATGTGGAGAAGATGTCCATTAAGCTTGTTGGTACAGCAATAACTTTGCCCTCTGGCAGCATTCCCGTCCATCTAAATAATCCTGGGACACGGATTCCTCCTTCCCAACCTCCCATGGCTTTTCCACCTTGAAATAACATAAAAACCATTTCATGATTATATATATATTTGGATTAAATATCTGTAGCACCCAAGTTCCTTCTGTCTCTTCATATCAATACATTATCTTCTTAATATAGCTGCTTTTTTATTTATATATTTTTTTTCCTTTGGTGTAATACAACTCCTCATCTTCTGTTCATGTTTTAAAACACTTTATCATGTGGCTACCAGAATGCTGGGCATATGGAAAACAGAATAAAACTACTTGATTTTTGGTGTGGTTGATTTTGTTCAGGAATATATTAATGCTCCATCCGTCAAGGTGTGCGCACACACACATACACACATCTGTCCAGAATAACTCACAAAGAAAAATATGAAAGTCATAGGACCACTACATGCTGCCAGATAAAAAACAGAAGCAGCTTAATGCTACCACTCTGATGGGAGTGGGCAATTTTGGTCTGTATGTGGCCTTCAGGACCTTTGATGCAGCCTATCATGGTATTCAAGTGAAAGTTGGACTTTGAAGAAGCAAGATAGGAAGAGTATTGATGCTTTTGAACTTTGGTATTGGAGTGGACTCCTGAAAATACCATGGACAGCCAAGAAAACGAAACCAATGGACCATCATACAAATCAACCCAGAGTTATCACTGGAGACACAACTGACCAGGCTGAAATTACCCTAGTTTGGACACATTATGCAAAGATCTAGCTCTCTGGAGAAGGCCGTAATGCTGGGAAAGATGAAAGGAAAGTGAACATGATGACCAGCAGCAAGATAGACTCAGTTACAGTAGTGATGAGTGCACCACTGGAAGAGCTGAAGGATCAGGTTAGGGAGAAAATCTATGTGGTCACTAAGAGTAAACAACAACTTGATGGCTCATCATCATCATCATCATCATCATCATCATCCATCATTGTAGCCTTCATAGTCCCTTCATCTTTTCCCCATTTGCCAGCCTCTTTTGATTTATTAGTCTTGCAGTTGCTGCTGATTTCTTGGTAAGTCTCTGTTTGTGAAAGGCTGTGCAAATACAGAGAACTTTCAGCCAGAACCCAGTGCTTCTAACACTTTCACTTTTATCCTAATCAGGTTGTAGGGTCACTAGACCTTGTAAACAATAGAACCTTTTCGGTTCTATCAGATTCCTTGAGCAAGAACCCATGAACAATTATTTAGCTTTTCAATTAAAAGGAACTAAACAGAAAAATGAAGCTAAATGGGTAAGTCAAGCAGGTGCTCAAGGTGGTGCCCATAAGCACATTGATGTAGGTATCACAGTACCTATCCATGCTTTGCTTTTGCCCAGAGGACTTATAGTCATTGGGTCTTGCAAAATAGATCTTTCCAGGGAGTCAACAGCAATATTGTTAACTCAGATGGAACAGGCAGGTGGGAAGAAGGCAGGGAGAGTCTTTAATCTTTCCTCCTAAAATCTTAGCTGTGCTGAACTCATAAGGGCAGATGATTTGTCTTTGTATGTATGCAAGTGTATGAATATCTGTGTATGTATACTTCCTAACTCACTACCCAGCAATGAATGCATATATAAGAATAGGAAAGTCCTCATTCCAACACTGTATGCTTCTCCTGCCCTTGGAGTAGAAATTAAAAATTAAATGTATGAAAAAAAAAATTCACATTAGTGTTGAAAGAAAATATGTGCAAATAAGAGGTGAACCTCACTGGAAAAAGCACCTTATCTTAAGTGGTCTTTATTAATAAATATGCCAATGGTTTATTTGGGGGTAAATGATCTTTCAGCTACCCAGTTTCAAAGCTATGTAACAATAAAAAGTTAAGCATCAGCATTGTGAATTGCATCTAGAAAAAAATGAAGCTGTTTAAACACCAGTGAGACATCTTCCCTTCTTCTGTGCCACGTGGTAACCTAAGGGAAACCATCTGTTTCCCTTAAGTTCAGTAAGGAATACATTAGGCCAATTAGCAACTTGGTATGGATGAATTTCATCTAATATCTTGTGTATGGCTCTGTTTGGATCACAAGTATGTTCTACAGCAGGAATTTGTGAATGGTTTTCTGAGAATTAAGGCAGTCAGATTAAGGATGCTTGTGTCAGCCCTCTACAGCTTGGTTAAATATTGGATTGAAGTTAAATGTAATTTGGCCTTGATTCAGTTGTAAAGTAGAGGTAGAGTTGGGTTTTATCAGTATATTGATAACATACTCTCCTTCAAAGACTTACATATAATAACTATGAGGGAGAAGATGGAACCATGTGGGACTTCAGAGTTACTATTACAGCTCTTTTTTCAAGGAGAAACACTTTGATCCAATTTCCACCCTAAATAACCTATCAAAGAGGATACCAAGAGGATGATATCAAGGAATGCTAAAAGATCTAGAAGATTTAACAATCATACTTTCATCCTGTTGATTTTGCAAGGAAACTATGTTCATTAGGACTTGCCTTTCCCATAGGTAAGTTTATATTTTCTATTAAATTGCTAATTTCTTTCATAACTAGTGAAGTTGATTATTTGCAGGAATTAAACTCCTATTCTGCATTTTCTTATTTCAGATGCATGCTTCATTGGTCTACCAGGTTTTGCTCAACCTGAATTTCAATGTTCCATATCTTAAACTACACCTAAGGTAGCATACAGTGGCTTTTAAAATACAAGACAAGTTTTTTAAAGAAATATATGAGGCTTACTCTCACCTTTGTATATGCCATTCCAACCACCTCGTTGAATATTTCCTTCCCAACTCTCTAAGTGTCCACCATGGTCAGAAGTAAAATATGTCAGAGTACTGTTTTTCAAATTTTCCTTATCAAGAGTATCCAAAATTTTTCCTGTAAAGCAAGCATCACTTATGTATCACTAATTTTTAAGACAGGTAAAATCCTACCACACCATCTTTTTGTTGTTGTTATCTTCACTAGTTTGTGCATGACACTAATATTGTTACATTATTGCATTTTGGTACATATAGTATTTCGATCTTATGTAACAATCATAATTAAAAATCAACTTTTCATAACGTAATTCCAAGAATTGTGCAGATAAGACATTAAGACAGCCTAAGGTCATCTTTTTACTACATTCTTGTAGAAGACCCAGACTTCAGATTATGAATGCTATTTCTTCTCAGTTATAATCATTTTTCCATACTGCATTATGCATGCATTTGATCAACACCTTCATTTCTAATTCTAGCAGGGATGTTTGATATGGAACAACAAGTTGAGGACAGCCTAATCTCTGCTGATGTCTATTTAGGGACTCATGTCACCAGGCATAACCCTGTCTGATATTTCAATCAAACTGCTATACTAAAACTTCAAAGAGTTTTAACATTTGCAAGTAGCAATGAATTGCAAACTGTAGTTTTGGAAGGGAGATTCCAGAAAATCCCATAAAATGAACACCTTTGTCACTGCAAATCAGGAGCTATTGAAACAAAAGCTCATGTACGTCTCTACTGTCAATCTTACTGTGAACTGTGACACAAACTTAGTATACCTTTCTTAGATCAAGTTTCAGCTTGTGTTGATTCTTTTTACTTTACTTATCTCATAGCTGATCAGAATGATGTACTTTTTTTATAATATCACCAAATTCTGTTTAATAGCTGGCAAGATCTATCAGGACCTTGCCAGGAACACTTTGATTTGATTATATTTTTACTTACCTTTATGGGCCTTATTTTACATTTAACTCTATTTTATCTCATTAATCTTATTTCATTAATCTTATTCTGCTGTGTGACTCTAGTTTGGTCAATGACCGGGATAAAGTACTTTGACTTTGTATAATTCTTGTTATTTTAAACTAGTTTCTAAACACTGTTTACACTCTAGTTATGTTTACATATTTACACAATGCATAGCCTGCCAATAAACTTAGCCAGATTTACTTGGAAGGAGGTTTCTCATAAGATTGCGTCCTTCCTATAATTGAACAAATGCTCTCTTGAAATGAATGGAGATTGCGTGATACTGAACTGATCAGAAAGACCTCATTTCTTTGCAGTGCTGCAGTAAGCAGGAAAACTTCATTCTCCATCTTCATTTCAGAAGTCTTAGACCCACCAAAATCCAAAATAAAGGAGTCTTTTGGTAATTGCTAGACCAAACATTACGAGCAGAAGAATGTGGATATGAAGTAACCATGCAAAAGAAACTAGAAGTAAAGTTTTATTTGGGATCAAGCTATACATTGATATTTTAAACTAACATCTATACAGGTGTCTACCTGAGAGTTCATTCCATTGTTATCAGACGGGCTTATTTCCAAGTAGGCATATATAGGATTTTATTGTATGTCTACTAACAATAAAGATTCATCTCTCCACCAGACTGTCCTTTCTGGTCACTGTTAACAGGTATGTTTTTACATAAATATTACATAATTCTTAGTAATAGTATAAGATTTGAATGACTTAATTGCTTCATTTCTTTGCTTTATTAATTATAGATACCCACACATACACACTGCTTTGAGGTGTCTTTTGACATATATGGCAGCCTAGAAATCAAATAAATAGATCAATAATATAATTAAGATGTACTTACCCACCATCCAGTCCATCTCCTCTACATTGTCACCATATAATCCATGATTGCTCTTGCCGATGAAATTTTCTGTAGTAACCAGAGGTGTGTGGACATGCAGGAAAGAAACCAGGAGGAGGAATGGACCTTGCTTGTTTCTAAAAAAAGGAAAATTTGCCTTTAATAATTATGCAATGAAATAATTTTCAGGAAGGGGCAGTTAATGTTTTGCAAAATAATTGTACTAATAGTAGTTGGTTCATTAAACCATGCTACCACCAACCCTCTGTTCTCACTGTATGAAAGCCCGATATACTTTCCTTTTTCTATAGTATTTCAGAGTTATTTGCTTTTTAAGGGGTAGAGTATCTGTACTGTAGTCCTCAGCTTAGATTCATATGGCCTTTGGTTGAATTTCAAAACCCCTTTACAATCAATTATCCCATATCCTACTAAGAACTAACTTCAATTTTCTTGATGCTTCAGAGAAATAGAGAAAAAGCTGTTAAAAGAAACTTGGGGTGAGCAACCCATTTTTTGTTTCAAGCTCACGTGTCATGGTTTAGCATCCAATAGATTGCCCCTAAAAGAATGAGGCTTTCATCAATAAGAGCAAGAAGTTATTTGTAACTTCTTATGAATGAGTGGCTTACAGAGGCAGATTATGTATGGAACAATGACAATAAAGAATGGTTGTTTCTTATTGACACTGTTGTATAAAACTTTATATCCGTATCTGTATCTCTCTCATTGTCTGTATCATCTATATTTACATTTACACCTAGATGTGTGGATGCACATGTACATGAAGCAGATATACTTCTTGTTTGGCTTTTTTCTTTTCTTATTTTTATTGTTATTATTTCTCGTATTGTTCTGCGTTATTAAATAAAAGCATTAAAATGTTTTCCCAATAGCAAATAACATACCTTTCAATAAAGGAAATGGCCTCTCTTAGCATAAGAGGCGCAGCTCTTTCTACTTTCATTGGCTGCTCGATAATGTCATAGTTTCTCATCATGATGCACTCCCAGTATCTTGCAAAGCCAAATCTTGAGTACCAGGAAATGAAGAAGAAGAAGTCAGACAAAGCCAGGAAGAAGATGGCTTTCTGACTGAGAGGCAACAGATGAGTTAGTTTTGCTGCTATGCAGGTCAGCAGAGCAAGGGTAACCATCTGAGTGTAAAGCCAGAGTTTCTTCTGCAGGGGCAGATCCAGCTCAGAGGAATGCGAGATTTGGCAATCGTTCATTAGTGTAAATGGCATCCCATAGAAATAATCAAATCCATGGTTTAAGGGGTGGTGGCAGTAGTCATTACGGTATTCACAATTCATACCTTGATGCCACTTTCCTGAAAAACAGTAATGAAAAAACAAATGCAAAACAACAAAAGAAATTAAAGCAAAGCAGATGCAATGTCAGTAATGCCAACCAAAGGCAGGTTTAGTTACCCACAATTTTTTTTATATTTCCTAACTCACTTCAAACATAGCCTATTTCTGCAGAATAGAGAGGAAAAATTAGTATGTATGTGTGTATGTACACACACACACACACACACATTCCTTTATCATGTTTTATTATGTAGTCTTAAAACGTATTGACTGCTTTTCATCAGTAACACAAAACAATATATAGTATTAATTAAAACATTTTTTTCCCCCTAGCATTTTCCCGCAGGTGCAGGGTCTGTTTTTTTTTTGAATCAACCGAATGTTGATCCATTGGTTGCAACAGGAATAAACTGACTGGGTTGTTGCCCAAGCCTGTCGTCATGGGGATTAAAATAAATAAATAAATAAATAAATAAATAAATAAATAAATAAATAAATAAATAAATAAATAAAT